AGGAAAGAATATTTGTGGTTTATTGTATGGCTTAAAGCCTATGTCTCCAATGCTGTTCATTTCCACCCCTCATGTTCTTCCCTTGTTGTTTCCTCTGGTACTTTCACACAACCTATTCCCATTCATACAAGCCATGGCTTTCCTTTCAGAAATGCCTACAGCACTGGGAAACTGAGAGTCCTAAAATAAGCCTGCACATTCCCTGGGCAGATAATTGACAAAGACAGGCTTCCCACCAATCTACCTTATGAAATTAAAGAGAAGTAAATGCCTTAGGCACACAGAATCTCATGTATGTTTTATACATCAGTACAAAATATATTCAATATGCCATTGCAATCAGGCATAAACAACTTCTACCACTTCAACCCACATTTTAGGAATGTGCATAGGAGAAGACCATCACTCTAATAACTGCAAAAAGAAGTTTGCAATACATTCTTTTCCTTTAAGCATTCCTCTGGTACACTTATACTCCATTAACATCTAGTATTGCCTGCTATTGCACAAAATCCATGCTATAGGTATGTGCTCTGAGTTACTTGGGACATGTCTCAGTAGCTGTACCTTAGTATAACCTAAGGGTGTCAAGCTAAATATCTGTTCATTACTCTGGGATTTCTGTCAGTGGCATACTCTGTCTCGCTCTTTTTTCCACTCTCATAATTATAAACTGTGTATTGTTTTACCTGTGTGTTTTGTATCCAGTCTCCCAAGCTTTGCAAAGTGACAAGGAATTTTAAATTGCATCCATATTACATAGTCATGTAGATATGCAAGGTCAGCTCTGAAAGTAACACCTCAGGTATTATTCTGTTGACTAACAATTTCTGAGGTGGATGTTAGTGGTATGGCTGTAGAGGTTGAACTTTCCCACCATTCCTTCCATTACATCTTGTTGTCATGTGACAGGTGACAGAGGGGCTATCTGACAAAATGGTGTTTGACTTGGAAGTTTATATGAGGAAAAGATGTGTCATTGATTTCCTCTATGTGGAAAAAGCAGTACCCATTGACATTCATCAATGCTTACTGAACATTGATAGAGACCAAACAGTAGATGTGAGCACAGTGAAACGATGGGTGGTGCGTTTCAGCAGTGGGGACTTTGAGTCAACTCTGCTGGTGTAGATATTTTTAAATGTGGCATGCAAGTTCTTGATCATCAGTCATGAAAATGCAGTGTTGATGGTAGTGACTGTATTGAAAATATAGTATGTTGTATCTGAGAATTTGCACTACCAAACTGTGTCATTATGCTCATTGTATCTGTTATAGTTTCTATGAAAATAAATAGATGGTACTACTTTTGGGGTGACCTGTTTTCTCTGCCTCTATTTTGCAAAGTTAATATTTTGTAGTACGTCAATGTCATCACCATTAGATAAACCATACTGTCTGCTTGTTTTCCAAGACAACGTGCAAGTTTTGCTGCAAGTAAATACAGGTAGAAGTGCAATTTCCCTGTGAATAGTATTATTAAGGCTAATCTCAATAACTTTGAGTCAGTAAAAATCAAATCAAAGTATTTTATCTCATTTTATACTTGGAATATCTCAGCAATATTATATCAATAAGCTCATTGTTTATCATAAGCATATTGAGTTTGCATTTGCATTGCCAAAATTACTGCCAGTATTTTATATTTTGCTCCATTTTTCCACATACAATCTGTACATATGCACACTACACATTGCATAACCAGGTATTAGTAATTGGCCATGTAAACAGTTACCATGTTTTCTGTTGAATGCAGCTGCAGGTTTTTATGGTTTTTTTAACATCCAGAATTCTTCTGCCCTAACTATTAAACATCAGTTAAAGATTATAAACTTTGTATAATCAATGAAAATTATATAAAGGAATATTACATAATTTTATAATATTAAGATGTTATAATAATGAAATAAGCAAGAGAGATAGGCACAGTGAGACAAAGAGAATAAACAGGAGGCTTACCTGTATCATGGGCTCACTCAGGAAACTCCAGTGGAGTGGATCTTCCAAAGAGAAAGACAGAGATCCTTCCCCCCTGGTACTCAGCTCTTAAATGGGTGCAGGAGAGGTGGAACCAGGCTCCACCCCTTCCTGCAGCACAGGTGAATTGCTTTCACCTGTGCTCCCAGGGCTGACTCATTGCTCACCTCAGGTGACTAATCAGAGGTTCAGGCAGTTCCCATACAAACTTATACTAGTTCCCCAAGATACTGGAGAAGAGTAGAAAAGAGTATAGAAAAACTGTATTAAGACAATTCATTCTTCACTTATTTTCTGCTTCTTCCTGAATCAAATCGCTAAACATTTAGAAAGGAATTTGTACTTTATTCAGTCGTACCATAAAGTCTGGACTGAGTAAGCAGAACCTGAGTAAGCAGTAGGCAGAATAGTTCTGCACTGCTTTCTGAGAAACAAGCTCTATGTGGACTTTCAGTCTTTAATGTATTTTATTAAATGATTAGCTCCCAAAAGGATGAATATCAAAATTAGGAACTGCTTTGCTTAAGTTTTTGACCAGTGTGTAATTCCTCTCTTTTATCACATTTTCTGAACTTACTAGGAGGGACAAACTTATTTTAAAACATGAAATTGATCTGTCTTTGAAAGATGTGCTGTTTGGTCAGTGTTATTTATGAATCCCCACTGGTACATCAGCAGGATTCCAGTACAGACACTTTCAACAAGTGCTGTTAACTTGGAGATGTGCACCTGAGCATAGGATTCCTTTGTTCTCTTTTCACAGCTGGACTTTTCTTTAAGAAGATTTAACTGATTTTATAGGTTCTGATTTTGCCAGGAGATCAGTCATAGCCAAACTGAAAGACACATAAATTAAAGGAGTATCATAACTTTTGAACAGGGAATCTGAGAACATCAAGTTTATGAAAGCAGTCATCAATTGAAAAATAGATGTTTAAGAACTATAATGATTTTTAAATAAACCTGGACTAAGAAATCTGACAAAATCAATGATATGGTAATAAAATCATTTTTTAATTAGGCCTAAAACTCTCTCTTTTAACAAAAAATAGACAATTTGGCTAGAACTAAGCACAAAAGTCTCTTTTTTCATAGAATACTATGGGATTATCTCCTTATATTTTCCATTTTACAATAAAGCATATATAGGGTGACAGTTATCCATGTATTTAATTCACATTTTTGTATGTGAGCAAGTTTCAGTAGAAGCAAAGAACCCTTGAAAAGGTCAGGGATGGAAGAACATAATATTCTTCTCTCAGCTGGAGTAGAAATACCAAATCCTTCCAATTGTTTTGCATGCCCAGTAGCTGTAAAGCATTACACTATTCACATGCTGGTTTTTTCCTGTATATACAGCAAGAATTATCAGCAATATATCTTGGCATTTCCACTGTAAAATTTCTACACACTGAACTTCCTTGAGAAGTAGATAAAGTGTTGCTGGCTTGTGCTGCTGTAAAGATGCTTGCCTAAATCTTTTACACTTCCTTATATGCAAGGTATTTACCAGCACTTGCCTTTTACAGCTCTGCTTTTCTCTGTTTATCATGATTCCAGTTCTGATAGGGCACCTTTACACTCCTGTTTGCCTTTTGAGTAAGAACTTTTCTTCTTCCATCTCATCATTTGCCTCAGGACCATTTTTCACATCTTCAAACATAACCTGTTCCCACCCTGGCTCTGGTTCATCTTTAATACACCTTTTTTTAATGTGATTTTATCACATTTTTAAATGTTATTTATTATTTATTATTTATTATTTATTATTTATTATTTATTATTATTTATTATTTATTATTATTTATTATTTATTATTATTATTTTATGTAATTATTATTTATTATTTTATCAGAGCTCTAGATTTTCAGCAGAGCATCTCTGATACCCTGCAAAAGACAGAGTAATGAGGGGATTGAAGCAGTATCCCATTCCATCCATTGAGATGCCTCATCTTTTTCAGTGCTCAGGAGCTATTTGGACATAACAAACCCTCTAAACCATAGTACAACTTTTGGCTAGTGCTGAAGTAGTCAGGCAGTTAGGCTTTGTGATCTTTGCAGGTCCCTTCCAACTCCCCTTCTCTCGAATTGCTGAACATTTAAGAATGAGTACAAGTCTGCATGTTTTTGACTGATACCTGCTGCACACTGTGATCCCACTTACAATGTGATTTGTTGTATGTTTTCAAGTTACCCACAGTTCAAGTTAAAGTTGCAGATCATTGCCTTTACCACACTGTAAGCTTGAAGTGAAAGCTGAAGAAGAAAAAAGGGTGAAGCGTAAATATGGTCTGCTATTGTATCCCTATGAGGAAAATAATTGCCTGGAAACTGCACACAAAGAAAACTGCTAAGTGCGGAAGTCACCTCATTGTCCTGTCTCTGAGGACAGCACAGAAAGAGATCAGAAAAGTGACAAAATCCATGCTTGATTATCGTGTGATTACCTTGCACTGCTATCATGCAATTATTGTTATGGCTCACACACATTTAATTTTTCTTTAGTTAAAATTGATTCATATTTTAATGAATTTTTTACCTCTTCAGTACCAAATTCATGGATAGGTAATACTACAGGTTGATACAGCCATAGATAAGAGTTTGTATGCACTCTTCCTTCCCCAGGAAGAGGCTAAGATGTAAAAGACAATGAGCATCACTGTGATTAACACATTATACCTGTTTTAAATTTCTTCAGACCACATGGCGCCAGACTGAGTGTGTGAGAAACTGAAATACATTTCAGTCTTGAGTAAGTAATCATGGAATCACAGAATCACAGAATGGCCAGGGTTGGAAAGGACCTCAACGATCATGAATCTCCAACTCCCCTGCTACATGCAGGGCCACCAACCTCCCCAATTAATACTAGACCAGGCTGCCCAGGGCCCCAGCCTGGCCTTGAACACCTCCAGGAACAGGGCATCCACAACCTCTCTGAGCAGCCTGTTCCAGCACCTCACCACTCTCTCTGTAAAGAACTTGAGACTAAATAAGTAAGACTATTGATTACTGAGACTAAAGAAAGACTATTGATCTGGTTTACATGGAATAAAATTTTGTTTAAAGTTCCTGGGAAAAGAAAAACAAGAACAAATACAGAGAAAGAAAAGAAAAAAGAAAAAGTAAAAAAAACCACAAACCCAAAACAACAATGAAAAAGATAATTATACCAAACTGAGAACAATGACTTTTGCAGAAAAAAAGCATTTCTTCTGTACTAAAGAATTGTGCTGGTTTATACCACCATAAAGGTAGTATAGATGGAGAAGGATATAAAATCCTTGCTCACCCCACCTGCCACCCCACAGCCCCATCCTCCCATCCTTCCTGTTGGCACAAAATGTCAGGCATGAAGTACTCATTATGTAGGCAGTATTGCAAATAGATTTCTCCCAAAGTAATACCTCACTATTCTAATATCCACACTTCGGTCTCCATAAATTTTCAGCGAGCATCAATTAATGTTAATGGTTCCCATTTTCTGCATGGAGGAATTCAATGACATAGCTTTGCTTCATATGCACTTTCATGCCAGACACCATTTTGTCAGACTGCCTCTCTCTTGCCATCTGTCACAAGCATTAAAATGTAACGGAATATTGGTGGGAACGTTCAATCTCTACTGGTGTATCACCAGCATCCACCTCCGATGTCGTGGGCCAACATCATAAAATAAGAGGTATTCCATTCAGAGCAGCCTTCATATAATTATATGAGATGCAAAGACAAATCTACTGTGATTTATAGCACACAGACTGTAAGAGATTATTCTTTTACATCACTGTCTCAAAGTTTGCTGGGGACACAGATAGACAAGTCCAAGCAAGACCTGGACAAGCATTGTGAAATCCTTTGTCTGAAGGACACAGATGGACAAGGCCAGGGGCAATGAGAGAGAAATAAGCTGCAGATTAATGGCTAGGAAGCAGTCTTGTGTGTGGGCTTATCTTGAGGAAGATGGCTATGTGCAGGAGGTGCTGCACATGACTCTTACCCAAGTGCCCAGGAATGCCACACTAGCAGAAAAAGAAGGATAAAAAGGGGACCTATAACAATGAGGTTAGGTTTTCTGGCAACAGATTCCTCATGAAGAAAAGGTTTCTGACATGAGAAGCCTCACAACCTGCCTCTCCCTCCTGGACTTGCTCTGCGCTTTATCTGCATGCAGAAGAACAAAGGTGTCTGCCATCAGATTCCTCACTATGGAATTCCTGCTGACGGACTCTCCTGGGCCTGCTACCTCAGTCCTGCTGCTTCCTCCCAGACTTACCCTGCAGCTTCTTCCTGTTACCTGCTTGCAGCCCAACACTGGCCACGCTGCTGCTGCTCTTCCCCTGCGCTTTTGCCTCAAACCTTTGAAACAGTGTGCAATGGGACCGCTGATGGATCCTGACTGGTGGTGACTATCCCCGCTTTATGCAATTCTTGCTTATTTCCAATCTTTTCTATCGCCCTCCCTCCCTTCTCCATCACCCTGATTCATAATAGTCGCCATCCTTCCCTTCCCTGTCTCCCTGATTAGGATTTATAATAAACTGGTCGGACCAACATTTGAACCATTGTTTCTTAATTTCACGCCATGTATGCAGATATTAAAAAGAACCTCCTCTCCCTCCTATGAATTGAAGTGAGACAACCATCTAGCCAAAAAACCTAAACAGCACAACTATTTCCTTACCTAGGACACATGCAAGAAAGCAGTTCCTTGACCTAAAAATTTTATTTGTCCATTATGTTTGACTTAAGTTTCTTTAGGCAGACAATAGAGGGTGAAGGGAAAGGAAAGAAATACAGCTTCAAAAGCTCCTAAATTCGTATATCACACAGAGGAAGGAAAGTTTGCGCTGGGAATATACATTAAGGGCTAGAGCTGAAAATATGTTATCTCTACACCAGATGCAACAGTGACATTCTTTCCTACCTCTCTGCTCTTTCCTTTCCTGCAGCTAAATTGTAAAGGAGGCACAAAATAAACAGACAAGCTGATGGCCCATGTCAAGTAAATTATACTCATGCAGTAGATTCTTATCCCACATTTCCATTCAGTACATTCTTCATAATATGTTAAGCTTAAACCATTCTGAGCTTGCATAGACTTATGAAAGAAAACAAAGTCCTCAAAGGCTATTTTATGACCATTGTTTACTTAGGGGCAAGAGTATGCCATAAACACATCTTAACAGCTACCTTTGGTTTCAGATTTTCTAAGACAAAGTGCAAGTTTAAAGGTAAAACAGCGATAAACTCATGGAAATAATCTACTATATTATTAGTGGTATAGTATTTTGGTAAATTCTGACAGGACTTCAGGTAAGCCGTGTTCTCACCTGTTGTCTGGTGAGTACTTCATGGCTAGCTTTCCTGCTGGGGCAACAGTTACAATGCACCCGGTTTTCTCCCCTATTTTTCTTCATGCAGACATACACCTATACATAGGTTTTATGGAATGGAACACTAATACATGACTTATCTTCTGTTTCAAGAAGGATCTACTTGTTTCATTTGGATCTACTTTTTGATTTAAAAGTGCCTGAACAATATTGTGGATTCCCACAGGGTTTGATGAGATAATCAGAGCTCAGTGCAGCCCTTCAGGTCGCCAAAGCAGAGTGAGGAGGGCATCTGGAGGACACTGCTATTGTGTTATGATCCTTTCTGAGCTGGCCCTGGTAGAAGGTTAATAAAATAAGCTAGTTGTAATGGTGCTGCAACAAGAGTGGTTTTGTAGCACCAAGGTGTTCCTAAGAGAACAAAGGCAAAATAGGAGCCTTTACTGGTGAGGTGCAGTGTATGTAAGTAGAGCAGAACAAATTTTTTGGTGCTGCTCTCTATGGCAGGAAAAACACGACCTGAAGCACAGTCCTCTCACTCCCAGGAGTTGCAGCATCTTGCTCTACCTACATGCTAATTCCTTTTACCTTCTACAGACACACAGGAGGCCTTATCAGATCAGTTATATTTGTCAAGACAATGAAATCATCCTGATGTCAGGTCTGTTTGTCCTGGTATCAAATCAAAGTACTCCTATCAGCAACAGTCCCATTTCAACAAGCTAGTAATATACTTAGAGGTTCTACTTAGATGCAAAAATTTCCCCGCTGCTGCAAGTACCAATAAAACAGAAATTTAAATGGTTATCCTGACCACAGGTAGGCAACAAAGCAGTCTGTGCATTCAGCTATGCTAGCATACAGGATTGCACTGTCCAAAGTGGGCCAATGGGAAGAGATTTGTCAGTGTTCTGGCTGTTTCTGCTTTGAGCTTCAGTGTGAACCTTACTGGGACTTGTTCTTCCAGTAGCTCAGAGTTCAAGAGAGATGCCGTGACTCTGCTGAGAGGGTCCCTCCTACACCAATGGCATTGGGAAAAGCAGCTCCCTGGCAGCCACATGTTGGAGGCACCTAGCCATCACTTCTTGCCATCTTGCTTCTTGACGTATGGCTTCAAAGCCATGCATCTTCAAACAATGAATGACAAACTTCTCTGCAGCAGCTGAGTAAAGCAGATGCACTTTTTATTTCCCTGTTGGGTATTTTTCTAACATTTTAGGTACTGCAGTAGCAGACTTAAAACATAGAGATGAACATTCAGATGGAGACAAAAGATATAAGGATTGGAATGGTGTTGGTTACCATCTGTAATCAGAACAAAAAAGTGAAGAAATAAGACGATGCATGCTCATGCATAGACGTGTATAGCACCTTTCCATAACGTTTTTCCTGTACATATACTAACTTTTACCTTCATCTAACAATGAGTTTGCCTGGACAAGTAGAGGGCAATAAAAGACACAGAAAAACCAACTGGTGTGAGCTAATGGAATGCAAGTTTCAAGAGTCAGGAAAGATAGCTGCAAGGAAGATGACTATAGAGACTTTCAGCATTTACAGAAGCATAAACATCACTTATATGGCACTGCTTTTATTGGAACATGATGGGGAGAGGTGAAGGAAGAGAAAAGTTCAGGAAAAAGAAGAGTGTTCTATAAATAATCATGACAGAGAAGATATTGAGAAATAATTTACATTAAATAAAGTTATCATCTTTTTTTTATGCATACTTTTGGATATATATATTTTACTGAGGTATATAAAGAGGTTAGTTTCATACAATCTATATAATATACATATATGTATGTATACACAGAATTTTATTGGCAGTAATGGCTATGCGGCATGAGAAATAGGAAGATTGATGAAGGACTAGTTAAACACCCATATTCTGTCCTGCTTTAAGCAAGGGCTTCATGATATCTCCTTTCCTAAGAACTTCTGAGAAAACCACTATTTTGCACAATAGTAACTGCTTTGCTTTACTTACGGTGGTTAAACTTCATATTTTCTCTCTTCAGGATATTCTGCAGATTTCATTACTTTAAATTAATTATATTTTTGAAAAAAAAAAAAAGGAAAAAAAAAGGAATGGGAGACTCAGTGATCTTAAATTTTCTATAGATACAGTCAGTNNNCCACTATTTTGCACAATAGTAACTGCTTTGCTTTACTTACGGTGGTTAAACTTCATATTTTCTCTCTTCAGAATATTCTGCAGATTTCATTACTTTAAATTAATTATATTTTTGAAAAAAAAAAAAAAGGAAAAAAAAAGGAATGGGAGACTCAGTGATCTTAAATTTTCTATAGATACAGTCAGTCTGCAAGGAAGCTCTACTTATATTAATTTTTCTATTTAGGGAAGATACATTATCTCAGAATTAGGAGTTATTTGGGAATGGGTTCATCCATGAATTTGAATTTACCACTGAAAATGTTAGAATAGGTGGAAATGAAAGATGACTTTTTGCTGAAGTACAAAGAAGCACTGGTATATGACACTAGGCAACATTTAGGAGACAGATGTTTCCCAGCTGGAAAGTAGGCCCTCTCAGCCTTTGCTGCTATTTGACAACAAAAGGTATGAAAAGTACGGTTTTCCAGATACCAGTGGTTATCACAGCAACACCTTTTCCAAAACAGTTTGCTGTTTATGATATGACAAGCATTGTAAAAAACAAACTCATTTGCAATACTTGCACTGTGACATGTGTTTTTTCTCAAAACTTCAAGGGGCAAATTGTCAAATACGACCTGAAGAACTGTAACACACAGTGTAGTGAAGTGTTTCAGTCAGTAGGCAACATCAGAACATGCAACATTAGGGCTAGTTCATTTGGCTGTCTATAACTGGAGTGATTAAAGCCAGTGAATGCAAATGCAATCCTGAAGAATGGAACTCGTGGTTTACTATGAAAATTAACTAACATCATTCATAAAATTACAAACAGGAAACTGATAGAATTGAATAGCTCCTTCAGATAAGTCACATTTTCTGAATGAGTATTCTGTTATTTATATAATATATTACATATAATAGATATTTATACATTTATTATTTCTACAACATAGCTGAAAATTGTCATATTATGTTCTTCAAGGACTTCAGGGATATCCATCCATGATGAATGTCAATGAGTGACAAAACTCAAAGCCAGGCTACATTTCACTGTCTGTATCCCAGGTGAATTTGATAGGCAGGGTCTGTATTTTTTCTTTAAGAACTTCATCAAACCTCTCACTCTGTGCCACTGTCATCGTGTTTTTCCAGTCTCCAACTGTGCCTGAGGAAAGAGGCAGCAAAGGGAGGTGAGAAGCCCAGCAGGCACCTATCTGAAGCTGGCCTTCAACCAGGGAGATCTACTCTCAGGAAGCCGTTCCAGGCTTCCTTGGCATCTCTGTGTTGCTGGACTCTCAAG